TTAGCACCTACATTATACAACATCTACACAAACAACCCAGAAAAAGATGCTTTATCTATGTAGATGATCTGTGCATCACCACAGACACATACACCACAAGGAATTTGACATTAATAGTTTGATGAATGCACTTAACCTAGCCAAGTACAGTAAAAGATTTGTTATCCGGCATGTTGGGAAAGAAGGGGGGGAGGGGGAGTAATCAAAAAATGCCTGTTAACTAAGACTTACACTTATCAATGGAATACCAATTTTCAAAGAATTAGAATACAATAAAATCAATAAAGAATAAAATAGTATACAGGTACTCACCAATCCACTAGTAGTACTGCACTGTAGAATGGTTGGTTTCTTGAAGCACTTAGGTGTATACAGGTAAAATTTTCTATACAGTAGGTTATCTTATGACACTACATATCACTATGGGCAGTGCATGGCGTACACCCAGATCACTAAAAATACACTTAACACTAAAACTATACTGAACATAATTTAATCTTTCTTTGATGACTCAGAAGGCACTTCAGGATCTTGCAGTGCCTCAGAGTCATCATTATCAACATCAATTCTCATCATAGATGTAGACGGTGCAGGAGATTGGGCTGAATCTGTCATGACCCTATGACAAACCCTGGAAGCTGCTTTTTTGAATAAATCCCTGAAATCAGCTTGCTTATTGTCTTCTGCCTCTTTTGCATAAAAAAGAGAGCAGAATGTGCAATTGCCTCACCTCCTGGGCAGTATACTAGTCCCGGTTACTAGATCGAAGATTTGTATTGGGAGATATCAGAAATGACAGTTAATAGAGCTTCCTGGTTGATAAAGTGCCGGATAATACAGTTTTTACTCCTGGGGATTCTGCACCACTGCGCATGTGCAGAATTTATGTCCCCTGCAGCTTTCTTTGCTTCCCCACAGAAAAATGACTTTCTGACAGGGAAGCCACAAAAAGCGGTCATGCGACTATCCCTAGCAGTATGTTTCAGGTGCCCAGGGTAGCCAGCAGAGATGTAAATCACTGTGGGGCAGGACGCAGGACTGGGGAAGACCCGGCTGGTGGCTCCTACCCCGCACCGGGCTCAGCTGCTAGTCCCGGCTGTGCAGTATGCGACTTCCTCTTCCCCTACATGGCATCCAGGGCCACCCCCAGATTTCTTCCCCAACTGCAGGAAGCTCTGCAAACTCCTGCACCCATTGTTCCTCAGCTGCAGGGGGAGGGATCCCTGTACAAGGAGCTGCTCCCCCAGCCACCCAACCCCCGAGCATCCAGACCCCCTCATATCCAGACCCTCCCACCAAGCCTCACCCCCCCGCCCTCAGACCCCTCTCCCAATGAGCCCCATTCCCCCTGCACCTGGACTACCCCATTGAGCCACCTGCACAGGGATTCCCACCCCACCGAGCCACAACCAGCTACACCTGGATCCCAACCCCACTGAGCCCCACTCCCCCAGCATCTAGATCACCCACTAAGCCCCTCACACCCAGACCCCCCTGCTGAGCTCTATCCCCCCCCACACTCAAACCCCCCACCACCTTCACTTGGACGCCCTGCAGAGTCCATCACTGTTGCACCCAGAACCCCAATAAACCCCTGTGCACCCAGATCCTCTCCATACCTGGATTCCCCACTTAGCTGCCTGCACCCAGATTGCTCCACACAGAACCCTCTCAACCCACACCTGGATCCCCCCACATTAAGCCCCTCCACTTTTGGATCCTGCCTTCCTGAGCCTGCCTGCCCACACCTGGTTCACCTGGCATGAAGGAGCAGGGCCCTGGGATGATTCTGGGGCAGACCTGGACCTTGCACTGTGCGAGGGTTGGGGGCAGCCTCACCGCTGAGTCCGTGTCCTGGATGGGAGCTGCACAATGATCTCCCACCTCTATGCAGCCAGTGGTCCTTGCTCCCCAATGCCATGCTGGAGCCTCCACATTTATATGACAAATAAAATTTACAGAATTTTGCACAATCTTAAAATATTGTGTGCAGAATTTTTAAATTTTTTTTTGATGTAGAATGTCCTCAGAAGTATACTATGTAGCCAACCAACAACAGGCAAAGAAGCAAAGATGCAAGTCAGTGTATTGGCTGCTTGCACAAAGCTGATGAAGGATGGGCCAGCTGGCTGAAATTGGAAGGCCTTCTCCTTTGAGATCTCTCTCTAAAGTGGATAATCTGACTGCCGGAAATACTTCTGGGAATACTGTCGGTATTGTTGCTACTGTTATTGCTGACCCTCGTGGAAACATCTATCACGGGGCTATAAACTCCCAGCAAACAAGGGACAATGCTTGAAACCCAGTGAATGCATTACACCAGGCAAAAACAAACTATCAAACTAACTAATCTAACACTAAGGTACTAATACTAACTATATACCAAAAAAAGACGACGAAAACTCTGAGTTAACAAGAAAAGGGTGAGGTAAAAACCACACAGAACACTCTGACTTAAGCTGCAGACGGTGAGAAGGAAGTGAGGAGGGTCAGGGCAGTGCCGCCCATAAATAGCTATGGGAGGGGCTATGAGGGACAGAAGGCATGAGTGCTGCCCTGACAGGTACTGCTTAGCAACCTTCTCTGGCTTCAGTGTGCATGGTGTACGCACACCTGAGTGGAATACATATCTGCAGCTAGTCACTCAAAGAGGAACTGGAGTGGTGCCAGGTCTGCATCTCCCTATATTCCCTCAACGGGGTGTCTACAGCACAGGCACAGACACTGTTGATGAAACTCTCCAATCCAGAGTGCACAGGCGCACACACAGCCTGATGTGAATCACACACAGGGATGCTATTTAAAGAAGAATTAGCTGAATATGACAGAATGACATTGTGGCCAAAAGGGCTAATGCAATCCTTAGATGTATAAACAGGGGAATAGCAAGTAGGAGTAGGGAGGTTCTATTACCTCTATATTGGCATTAGTGCAAGTGCTACTGGAATAGTGTGTTCAAGGAGAATTTTTGAAAGATTGGAGAAAGTTCAGAGACGATCCATGAAAATGATTAAATTATTTGAAAACACACCAATAAAAATTGAAGCTTAACTATTGGATAAGTGTTATTTTCATCATACACACAAACCAATGAAAATATTTTTTCATCAATAAACAAAATTTACAGATAGGCAAAGTACAAAAAATGCTGCTTGAGAACTCTGATTTAAGCATTTTTACTTCGTATATTTTGACAAGCGATGTTGACAATTTGTGTTTCAATAGTTATAAAGCTCTAAATGTTTGAATCTCAATGTCTACTGCCAGTAATAATTATTCTGACTCTCCCCACCATTTCCTGCAACTGTGAAAATTTAAAAATTATTAAAAATAGAGCATGCTTTAACAATTATATCTGTTGACATCATTAAAAAATAAAAATCGAATTCTACCAAGCCCACTTGTAAAGAAAGATTCAAGGACCTCAATCTTTTTATCTTAAAGAGAAAAGATTAAGGGGTGACTAAATCAAAGTCTAGAATATCCACAGAAATGTTTATGTGGGCTGTTCAATCTAGCAGACATAAGAAGAACCAATGGCTAGAAGCTGAAGCTAAACAAATTCAGACTGGAAATAAGGTGCCAATTTTTAACAGTGAGGGTAATTAACAACTGGAGCAATTTATCAAGGGTTATGATGTATTCTCCATCACTTGGAATTTTTAAAAATGAGGTCTGGATGTTTTTCTAAAGTTATCTGTACACTGCACATTGCTGTCAGCACTGTGTAAGGTACATGTAGCTACACATCACAGCGAAAAGCAGGCTGCATCCATACCACAGTGCATAGCTACACTTGTCAGTGAAAGGTTCTAGCTAGGCATGTAAAAGTAATCAGTTAACTGATAAGCTTGATACTTATTGGTTTCAGTTAACGGTTAAACGCCTCTGCCGCCCTGCACACCTGGGGATCCTGGCTGCAGGCCCCGTGCCTGGGGATCCCGGCTCCTCGGATAAAATGTGGGGTGTTGTAGCACCCCCACACACACCCTTAGCTCTCTGGTTAAACATTTAACCGATAGGTTATACGGTTACTGCTTTTACATGTTATTTACATCCCTAGTTCCGACAGGGGGAAAGCAGTTGTCTGCTACTCAAGCCCTTTCCTGCTGCCTCCCTTCTGCCAGAGCCCTTTCTTGCTGCTGGATTCTCTCTCTACAGCAGATGAAGGCTCCAGAAACGGGGAGCTAGTGGAGCCGTTCCCCACTGCCTCCTCATTGATAGAACCTTTCCCAACTTCCAGTCTCTCCCTATAGTGAGGGAAGGCTCCAACAGTGGGGAGGCAGGGAGATACTAGACAAGGAAGGACTGTTTGTGAGAGCCATGTAGGGAATATGCCTGGGTATAGACCCACAGGCTTCAAGCGTGCCTTTACTCACCATAGCACTGTAGATAGTGAGGCATTGCTTTTTATACCCATCTTAGGGGGGAGCTAGCCATGTAGGTATTCTACAGGCCCCCATAAGAAAAGTGCAGTATAGACTTACTCTAAGAGATATGCTCCAGTTCAAACAGGAAGTAATTCAGGGAAATATAATGGCCTATGCTATGCAGGTCAGACTAGATTATCACAATAGCCCCTTCTGCCTCAATCTTTGAAACAAACATAGCAATATTTGTACATACAGATATGTTTCAAAATTCCAAAACAAGACAATCCACTGCAAACACTTCTACCTCTGCGAAGAGGATGAGAGAACAAACGTGAAAGTTTTTAGTCACATTGCTTAATGCACTAGTGGAAGGCACAGTGTAAGTGCCAGTGATGAGTATAGTATAAGAACCTGTATATGATACAATTATATGAGGCCCCATTCCTTTTAGTTCTCCATCCTTTAAAGCCACTTCGGATACAATTAAGCTCCAAGTTGTACAGAACCCCATTTTCATAGACATTTTGTTTTAATATAACTATTAAAAATTGTAACATTTTAAAGAAAAAAATCAATGTGAATGTTACACCAACTGCAATTTGAGGCTATCCAGTAAAGGAGAATTACCTTTAATGCTCTCCAAAGGATAGGTTGATACAATCTGTACAGCATTTCTTCAACTCCCTGACGAACTTTACTTTGTTTGTGAAAGTAACTCAGTAACTGTCAAAGCAAAACCAATGTTAATGCATGAAATACATTTCATATGCTATGTTCAATACATTTGAGAAAGGCAGCCTGTTTTATTCCACTATGTCTTTTACAAAAGAAAATTGACTTTTTTAGTCTGTATAAATACAATAAAACGACTTAGACAAGAGATAAAATTATTTTAGGTCAAGCTAGTCTATGTATTAAAGTGTTCTCATTTTAAAATAGGAAAAGCAGAAAGAGGTATTGTCTCTCACTAGCTCATATCTACACAGATGTACAATTAGGAAGGGCAAAATCATGGCAAGAGTTCCTTTTTCTCAGCTCCCTTTCATCCTTATTTATTTATCTATAATTTTTTAGGGAGAAGAGGACAATACAGACAGCAACTTTAGTGCTGAGGAAGCATATATGGGAGGCACAAACACCCTTTTTATTATTAAAAATGAAGGAATGTTACTTAGTAGCTCATGTCTTCCAAATACATTACCACTGTAGATTATTTATTATTAAAGAAATGGAGACATGCCTTGGTCAGAAGAGGGAATATTCACTCCATGCAATACACAAGATTTAAAAGCTTGTATTTAGCAGTGTCTAATACTGAGGTCCTCAGCTTTTCCCTAATTCAACTATAAAAATAAAAAATTAAAAACAGAATAGCACAAAGAGAAGGAACAAAGACAAAATTGCAGGACTACTTGTGCCACTTGCTCAGAGGTGTTACAGGGCAGCTCCTCCATTTGAAGCGTTCAATCAGAGCTCTACATGGAATATTCCTCTCAGTGGAATATTTCAGGTACTCAAAATGAAAGTTAGCCCATAATGAAAGTAAGTCTATAAGTGGGAATCTTCGGAGGTAAGATTTGTATTATGTATCTAGCACAAATTTTGGTTGAGGGAAGGAAGTAGAGATTTGGAGGGGGAAAAAAAAGTGTTGAGTCAAGAGGCCATGGAATTTCTCTGATAATGATGGGCCAATCCATGGAATTTTGTCACTGTTTTAATTATGAACAAACAACATCACTTATTTATGGGTGGATAACAATGATTTTTTTAAATGAAGTTGAATTCAAGTTTAAATCAGATTTTTGTATTCATAGATTATAAAACTGGAAGAAACAAAGAAATATCTGTCAAATTACTCAAGCAAATTATTTGTAAATGTTGCTTTAATATTCTAATTGTCACTAGAATTTTAGATTTTTAAAAGACTGTTTTCTTCTACTAAGAAGTTTCACTTGAAAAGTTCATCTACGCTGAAAAAGACCAAGGCCTCATTAACATCCTTCCTGTAAAACACCACAAAATTTATAAGTGAATAGCACATGCTTTATTTGCAGCCCCCACCACCTGATATTTTTAACTATCCCAAGTCCAAAAAGGTGAAATGCTTTGACCAGACTATATATTTCATCAGATTTATAGTTTGAAGTCAATGGGTCTTTTGCTCCTAAGTCACTTAGGTCTTTTTTTCAAAGCCCCACTCAGGTATCTAAATATAGGTTTTTGAACACTTTAGTCTGTGTGTACATAAGAAGTTCACAATAACTTTGTTAAATGTACAGTAACTCCTCGCTTAACATTGTAGTTATGTTCTTGAAAAATGAGACTAAGTGAAATGATGTTAAGTGAATCCAATTTTCCCATAAGAATGAATGTAAATATGGGAGATTAAGTTCCAGGGCAAGTTTTTTCACCAGACAAAAGACATTATATACATATACAGAATAAGTTTTAAACAATTTTAAACAATTTAATACTGTACTCAATAATAATGATTGTGAAGAGAAGGTTACTCATCTTGTGTAGTAACTGAGGTTCTTCAAGATGTGTCCCCATGTGGGTGCTCCACTTCAGGTGACGGTCCTGGTGCCGTTGATCGGAGGCTTTTCCATAGCAGTGCTTGGTCAGGAGGCGCGCTCCTGGTGTCTCGTAGCGCCTGTCTGTCTGGTTGAGCACATGTGTGTGGCCCACACCCCTCAGTTCCTTCTCTACCATAGAATCCTCGTATCAAACTCCAAAATAGAGGGGAGGAGTGTGGGTAGTGGAGCACTCACAGGGGGACACATCTCAAAGAACCTCAGTTCTGCACAAGGTGAATAACCCTCTCTTTTTCGAGTGCTGTCCCTGTGGGTGCTGCACTATAGCTGAATGTACCCATCATGGATGGGGGGGTACTTTGGAGGTACATGGCTAACTGAAGTAGAATGGACTAAAAGGCCTAGTATGGCATCATCCCTGGAGAATTGTGTAATTGCATAGTGATTGGTAGAGGTATGTTCTGACGCCCAAGTGGCAGCTTTGCAAATTTCTGAAATGGGTACATTGTGAAGAAAAGCCATGGAAGTTGCCATGGCATGTGTGAAATGGGATCTGATGCCCGTACAGGGTTCTATTTCCCTTGTTTCGTAACATAGACGAATCCAGTTTAATATCGAAATTCGTTTGGATATTGCTGATCCTTTGGATTGTTTCATTGTCGAGACAAAGTCTCAGTGATTTTCGGAAAGATCTCATCCTATCCAGGTAAAAGGCTATTGCCCGTCTGACATCTAGGGGGAGGGATAGCTCACTGGTTTGAGCACTGGATTGCTAAAACCCAGGGTTGTGAGTTCAATCCTTGAGGGGGCCACTTAGGGATCTGGGGCAAAATCAGTACTTGGTCCTGCTAGTGAAGGCAGGGGGCTGGACTCGATGACCTTTCAAGGTCCCTTCCAGTTCTAGAAGATAGGATATCTCCATTTATTTATTTATTTTAGTGCTGCATTCTGTGAGCATATGCACGGTTTGGGATAGAATGTGGAAAGGTGAATGAGTTGGTTGAAAGGTTGACGACACTTTGGGGAGAAATTTTGGATGGGGTCATAACATGACCTGGTCCTTAAAAGAAGATGGTGTAGGGTGGGCTGGCTCGCTAACTCGTCTAGTGGAGGTAGTGGCCACTAGGAAAGCCACCTTCATGAACAGGTGAAGTAAGGAGCAGGTAACCATTGGTTCAAATGGAGGTCTCATGAGGCCCTTGAGTACTAAGTTCAGGTCCCACATGGGGATGGGAGAATGTACTTCCAGATAGAGGTTTTGTAGATCAACCATGAAGCGCTTTGTAATAAGGTGTGTGAAAACTGAAAACCCCTCGATTTTGTCATAGAAAGTATTAAGCGCTGTGCAGCGAACTTTGATAAAGCTTAGCAATAGTCCTGAATTCTTCCATTCAGCCAAATAGTCTAGTACCGTCAGTAATGGTGCGGCACATGTAGTGATCTGTTTGTTTGAACACCACATGGAGAAACACTTCCATTTCTGCAGATAAGTAGTGCATGTAGATTTGCATCTGCCGTTTAGTAAAATAGTTTTCACTTGTTCTGAACAGGTTAGCTCACGTTCGTGGAACCATGATTTCAGATGAAGCTTCTCTCATTGTGGATGTAGGGCCTGTCCATTGTCCTGCGACAGAAGATCTCGTGTTACTGGGGGAGTCTGTGGCGGACGGATCGACAGACATAATAGGTAAGGGTACCATGTTTGTCTGGGCCACGCTGGGGCAATCAGAATAATTGTGGAGTTGTCTTCCTGTATTTTGCGTAGGACTCTGTGGAGTAGAGGTATTGGTGGGAGCACATACATAAGTGAGGTGTCCCTCTGGATTAGAAAGACATTCCCTAAGGATCAGGCACCAAGTCCTGCTCTGGAACAGAACCAGATTCATTTGCGGTTCTGGGACATGGCAAATAAGTCGATGGAAGGGAACCCCCAATATCTGAATATTCTGTGGAGGGTTGTGGGGTTCATTTCCCATTTGTGTTCCCATGAGAAGTTTCTGATGAGGTTGTCTGCAGTGGTGTTTTGGCATCCAGGAAGATAAGAGGCTGTGATGTCTATATTGTAGCAAATGCACCAGTTCCATAGCATCATGACTTCGGTGCAGAGGGAGTGGGATCACCCCCTTCCCCCCGCCCCCACTTGTCTGTTGATGTAGAACATGCATGCTACATTGTCTGTCATGTCTCGGATGGATCTGTTCCTTATTAGAGGAAGGAAGTGATGGCAGGCATTTCTCATTGCTCTGAGTTCCAGGAGATTTATGTGGAGGTATGTTTCGGCTGGTGACCACTTGCCTTGTGTTGTGTGGTGGTCTAAGTGTGCTCCCCAACCCAATAGAGAAGCGTCTGTTGTGATCAGTACAGAGGTTGGGGTTTGCTGGAAGGGAATACCTGTCGTTAGATTTGCTGATGTCACCTACCATCTGAAAGAATCCAGGACCTTGGGGGGTGGTTTGACTAGTCTATGAATGCTGTGTTTGGTGAGTTCAGCCAGATTTGAAGGAACCGCATGTGTAGCCTGGCGTGCTTTACCATGTATGTGGTGGCAGCTATGTGTCCTAACAGTTGTAGGTGCTGAGAAGGGGTGACTGTGGTAGCAATGACATGGTGATATCAGCGTGCGTGAGAAAGTGTTGCGGTACCGATGGTGTCGGTACTGTCAAATCGTTTTGTCTACCAGGAGACTTGTGGTTTGACTTGGTCGGTGCCGGGTCCTTGGTGTTGCTGGCCCTGGTGTCAGTGCCAAGGTAGATGTCGATGGTAACGATGTGGACAGTACCGGGGGTGGCAGCTGGTCAGTGCCAGCACAGTTGTCGGTGCCATGGAGGAAACATGTGGCAACATATGTCTCGACTCCTCCTTTTTGTCTTTCAGCTCTGCGGCACAGCTGGTGCCAGGAGAGTCGAATGTACTCACTCTTAGCCATCAGCACCAGAGGTAGAGACCACGCAGGGGACTGTTTCTTTTTCTATGGTCCCCGCTGCGCAGAGGTCGAGACTCTCTTCCTCTTTTCAGAGGCGGATGGAGCCGTGCTCCTTGATGGTTCAGACCACATTGGTGAGCACTTTCCAGAGGACCTATGGTCATCCTTGTCTGACCCTGGGAGAAGAGATTTCTTCATTAGGATCATCTTCAGGTGGAGGTCCCGGTTTCGGTGGACTCATGCCTTCAAGTTGCTGCAGTGAATGCACTTACAAGGAATAGATATCCGAGGCACCTCCCACAGTTGAGAGTGACCATCAGATCTAGGCATTGCCTCACGGGATGAGCTGCATCTCTTAAAGCCAGGGTAACCTGGCATAGTCCTTAACGTTAATGTTCGTGGCCTGAAGGGGGAAAACTACAAACTAGAGAAAACTAACAAAGCAAAGAATAAATTTTTATTTAAAAAAAAAAAAACAAGTGTGAAAGTAGAATGAATTATATTGTAAAAATAGAATGGACTAAAGAAATGCTGTATGTACCTTTAAGCAGAAATAAGAAATGTTGAAATACAGGTGTCAGGAAAAGGAACATTAAGGCATAAACAATGAGTCCACTTAAGCTAATGGTGGAACATTAGCCGGAGATCTGTAAAAGTTAGTAAGAAAAATGAATATGTATGTCTAGCCTCAGGTAAATTTGTCAGTTCTGCTTTCTTTGTCCTCTTGCATCTGAAGAAGTGGGTTGTAGCCCACAAAAACTTATGCTCTAATAAATCTGTTAGTCTCTAAGGTGCCACAAGTACTCCTGTTCTTTTTGTCCTCTTGTTAAGTTCATGCCCTTTTTATTTGTATAAAAAAGGTAGTGTGGGTCTTGCACGGTGCTCACATTATCTGAATGTATTAGCAAAGTGCTGTACTAATAAACAGAGTGATCTAACAAATTGTGAGTCCTGAATCGAACTTTGACACAAGTTAACTATGAAAACTACAGTAAAGAAAACTTTTTAAACTACTAATTTCTATTTTTTTTAAACTCTAGGGAGAAAGGGCTGTCGCACTGCGGAGAGCTCCGTCTTCAGCCAAGGACAGTTGAGAAAGAACTGAAGGGGGCAAGCCGTGCACGCGCGTTCACTGGGACAGACAGGAGCGTGCGTGCAGTCCGACTGAGCACTGCTATGGAAAAGCCTCCGATCAACGGCACCAGGACACACTGTCATGTGAGGTGGAGCACCCACAGGGACAGCATGAATAGAACTTCAATTAGCAGCTGCTAGAAGCAGGGAATGGTCTCCCTATCTAATTGAAAGAAAGAGCTGTTTTCATGACTGCGATACTCTATCCGTGAGATAAACTCAGTTATGAATGAGAAGCAAGAACTGATTTGGGAAACATGAATCCTCTTTAAGAAGCAGCTTCTGCCAGCACTATGAACAGAAGGAAGGAGCATGGGCTGCCAGATACCATCACAACCTATGGCAATAAAACAGGCGGTCTCTAAAGACTAGGGTGTAGAAAGTTCCCATTAGACCAACAGCACATAAATGTACTCCTAAACCAGGGGCGGGCAAACTTTTTGACCTGAGGGCCGCATCAGGTTTCAGAAATTGTAAGGAGGGCCGAATAAGGGAAACTGTGCCTCCCCAAACAGCCAGGCATGGACCGATCCCCCCCGGCTTCTCGCCCATGACGGCCTCCCAGGACTCCTGCCCCATCCAACCCCTCCTGTTCCCTGACAGCCCTCCCCGCCCCCGAACCTCTGCCCCATCCACCACCACCCCCACTCCCTGTCCCCTGACCGCCCCCAGACTCCCCGCCCCTAACTGCCCCCCATCCAACCCCTCCTCTCCTTCCTGACTGACCCCCCGGGACCCCCTGCCCCATCCAACCACCCCTTCTCATTGATCACCCCCAGAACCCCAGCCTCCATTCAACACCCCTCTTCCCCGCCCTCTGACTGCCCCTATCCACATCCCCAGCCCCTGACCACCCCTGAACTCCCCTGCCTTCTATCCAACCCCCCTCCCCTGCCCCCTTACCGCGCTGCCTGGAGCACTGGTGGCTGGCGGCGCAGCTGCACCATGACAGGCAGCTGCGCCATCCAGCTGGAGCCAGCTACGCACCGCGCAGCACAGAGCACCGGGTCAGGCGGACCCTGCAGCTGCACTGGCCCAGGAGCTCGCTGCCCAGAGCATTGCACTGGTGGCGCAGTGAGCTGAGGCTGCGGGGGAGGAGGAACAGCGGGGGAGGGGCCTGGGGCTAGCCCCCCGGGCCAGGAGCTATGGGGCCGGGGAGAACGGTCCCGTGGGCCAAATGTGGCCCGCGGGCCGTCATTTCCCCACCTCTGTCCTAAACTAATGGAAAAAGAAGCATTTAAAAAGTTATATTGGCATTCAGTTGAGAACGAATTGTTTTTAAAGCTGACTTCATGAAAACAGTTTACATGCGATGGGCACAGCTGACAAGGTAATTTTAAAACACAGGGGACCACTAATGGGCTTAAAGTCATTGTGGGGAAAAACTTCTTACCTATGATACTAATGCAACACTGAATAATGAACTTCACCATCTCTATTGTCTACCTTTTCATTTCACTCATTTTAAAATAAATTAGCAGTGTGACAATTTCTAGTCAAGTTCACTGTGCTTTTACATAAGATACAATGCTTAGGTTGCAAATAGTGCAGGGAAGTGTATAAGTGCAAACAAAAACCTTTTAACAGATTTTATTTTAATATTATGAAATTGAACATAAATTCATATTAAGTTATGCAAAATCCCTCCTTCTATTTTTTTGATCTTAAATCTACTTAAATTTGTACCTAAACTATGTAAAGTGCTCCTTTAACTTGTTCAGATAGCCAATATTTCCAGTTAACTAAAGCAAATTAATAGATTTTCAGAATCAGTATACTATTCTTAACATAGATATACTTAAAACAAACAGAATATTCTCATATTATAATAATCTGATTTTGAAAAGGACTTTAAAAAACACTTTGTGCTAGTACTGTATGTCATGTTTGACAATAACATACCTCTCTCACTTTAGGATGCACTGGAGAACTCCTAGGAAGATGGATTCCATGATGCATGAAATCCTGAATGCAATTATGCTCAAGAATCTAAAATAAAAATGCATTACAAACTACAGTTAACATACAAGATTATAGGTGGCACAGGTAGTGATTTACTTAAGGTTGCTTGATACTTTAAGTTTTCAAATTCTGTTTTCAGATGCTTATAGCTAAGCCCCTCTGTTTTCAGTTTAAACTGATTTTTACAGAAAAAATCCCGGGTTTTACAAAACTATTATTCATTTTTTCCCCCAATTTTCACCCTAATTTGGATCAGATACATAAAAAATAACTTGTTTTATTAGGAAAATACAATATATTGCATGAGATATATGTATTACAATAATACATTGGTCTGTGTGTATATGCAAAGCTGCCTGCTGATGTAAGGGTATATTAGACTAGAAGATGCACACAAATAAATAGGCAAACATGCAAATTTGAAGTACATAAGCATCTGAATATACTGATGAATCTCACACCTACCACGTGCACATTTCAAGCTGTTAGCAGATAACTAGGGCTGTCAAGTGATTAAAAAATTAAGAGATTAATCGCATTGTTAAACAATAGAATACCATTTATTTAAATATTCTGGATGTTTTCTACATTTTCAAATATATTATTTCAATTACAACACAGAATACAAAGTGTACAGTGCTCATTTTATATTTATTTTTTATTACAAATATTTGCACTGTAAAAAACAAAAATAGTATTTTTCCATTCACCTAATACAAGTACTGTAGTGCAATCTTTTTATCATGAAAGTTGAACTTACAAATGTAGAATTATGTACAAAAAACCCTGCATTCAAAAATAAAACAATGTAAATTTTTAGAGCCTACAAGTCCTATCAGTCCTCATTTCTTGTTCAGCCAATCACTCAGGCAAACAAGATAATGCTGCCTGCTTCTTGTTTACAATATCACCTGAAAGTGAGAACAGGCCTTTGCATGGCACTGTTCTAGCTGGCGACGCAAGTTATTTACATGCCAGATGCACTAAAGATTCATATGTCCCTTCATGCTTCAACCACCATTCCAGAGGCCATGCGTCCATTCTGATGGGTTCTGATCGATAACAATCCAAAGCAGTGCGGACCGACGCACGTTTATTGTCATCATCTAAGTCAGATGACACCAACAGAAGGTTGAATTTCTTTTTTGGTGGTTTGGGTTCTGCAGTTTCTGCATCAGAGTGCTGCTCTTCTAAGACTTCTGAGAGCAAGTTCCACACCTCACCCCTCTCAGATTTTGGAAGGCACTTCAGATTCTTAAATCTTGGGTCAAGTGCTGCAGCTATCTTTAGAAATCTCACATTGGTATCTTCTTTGCATTTTGTCAAATTTCCACTGAAAGTGTTATTAAAACAAACAACATGTGCTGGGTCATCATCCGAGACTGCTATAACATGAAATATATGGCAGAATGCAGGTAAAGCAGAGCAGGAGACATACAATTCTCCCCCAAGAAGTTCAATCACAAATTTAATTAACGCTTTTTTTTTTTAAATGAGCGTCATCAGCATGGAAGTATCTCCTCTGGAACAATGGCCGAAGCATGAAGCGGCATATGAATCTTTAGCACATCTGGCACATAAATATTTTATGATGCCAGCTACAACAGTGCCATACGAACGCCTGTTCTCACTTTCAGGTGACACTGTAATTAAGAAGCGGGCAGCATTATCTCCCGTAAACAAACTTGTTTTTCTTAGCGATTGGCTGAATAAGAAGTAGGACTGAGTGAACTTGTAGGCTCTAAGTTTTATATTGTTTTGTGGAGTGCAGTTCTATAACAGAAAAAAAAAACATTTTTAAGTTGCACTTTCATGATAAAGATATTGCACTTCAATACTTGTTTGAGCACTGCACACTTTGTATTGTGTTGTAACACTGGTCTACAATTTTTGAGAAGTCGTCTGCTTCAGAGATAAAATGTGTTATTTATTATGTATTTTGAT